ATTCCAGCTGTGGAACGGGGGTTGGATTCCACCCGCAATGAGGCGCAGATCTCGGGGCTTGGACACTGCGGTGGGGTTGGGCAAGGGTCACAGGTCCCGTCCTCCCTCCCCAGCCACCCTGAGGGGGTCCCCGAGGAGCCCCTGACCCCCGAGGCCGTGTCCGTGGAGCTGCGGCCACTCATGCTGTGGATGGCCAACACCACGGAACTGCTGAGCTTCGTGCAGGAGAAGGTGCTGGAGATGGAGAAGGAGGCTGACCAGGAGGGTGAGCCCGGACCCAGACCCCGGCCCTTCCACGCCCACTGCCATCCCCGGGCCCCGCGGGCCTGGGCTCCCCTCTGCCGGCCTCCGGTTCCCCCGCTCACCCCCACGCCTGTCCCCAGACCCACAGCTCTGCAATGACCTGGAGTTATGTGACGAGGCCATGGCCCTCCTGGACGAAGTCATCATGTGTACCTTCCAGCAGTCTGTCTACTACCTCACCAAGGTTGGCCTTGACCTCTGCTTCCCTTGGGCATCGCCTAACCTCCCGCTGACTGCATCCCGTCGCTCTGACGTCACTTCCGGTTGGCCTTCGCGAGATCTCCTGCTTCCCTGACGTCACTTCCGGTGTCATTATTCCGACATCGCTCCCTGCTCGCGCCTGCGTCACTTCCTGCCTTCTGGCTTCTCTTCCTGTCTCTGCCACCATCCCCTCGCGACAGTCTAGTCCCCCTCCCTGGTTACATCACTTTCTCCAGCTCCCTCCCTTTTCCCGAGTCAGTTCGTCAGTCACTGAGAAGTCGGTGGATGGATATATAGGTCTCTAGATATGGATAGATTACATAGTGGTAGGTACTGTCATTGAAACGAAAGGTCCTCTTTAACCGGCCCTCACTTCCTGTGTTTGCTGAGCTCACTTTCTGTCACTGAATTCACCGCCTTTTCTGAGTCACGGGCCTCTTTCTCCCCGGAGTGCCCGTCCTACAGGACCTGTTCGCTGCCCAGTTCCTCACCGCCACCCTTGACCTTCACATTGCTTCCTGGAATTCTCGGGTTTCTGGGCCTATGGCGGGCTTGCCTCCCCATCTGTGAAATGAAAGGGGATCTTTGGGGCAGATAGTCCATGTTCCTTGAGGAGCCTTGATTGGTGAACCCCTCTCCTTCTGAAGGCTTCGCTTCCTGTGCATCCCTGCCAAGTGTGGTTTGACTTTTTTTCTGGCTCTGACTTTATTTCCTGTCCTTGGCCTGATCTCACTTTTCACGGGCTGACGGCCACCCCCCTCCCACTTCCTGACTCTCCATTCTTTTTCTTTCCTTCAGGAATTCTGGATAAAAAATACTTCTTTGACTAAAGGGGGCCTCTTTGCTCAGTATCCTTTGTCCTCCTTGAGTTGTCTCTGTTGAGGAACTGTAAGTCCCGAAAGTCACCAGGGGTGGTCTTAAAATGCCCAGGAAACTTCTGCAAAGCCTTCCTTAAGACCTGAGGTCCCCCAGGCCTGATGCCTGCTAGAACCCCAACTGGATGGTAGGAATTTACTCGTGGAGATCTTTAGGGTGTTGAAGGCAAAGTGGACTACAATTCCCAGAAACCTTTGGCGGAGCTCCCCAGTATCTTCCTATGCGGCTACCCTGACACTTCTAGGGAGCTGTAGTCTCATCTTGTTGGCATCTCTCTATCTCCTCAGACTCTGTATTCCACGCTGCCAGCTCTCCTGGACAGTAACCCCTTCACAGGTGGGGCAGAGCTTCCGGGCCCTGGCGCAGAGCTGGAGGCCATGCCTCCGGGTTTGAGACCGACGCTGGGCGTGTTCCAGGCGGCTCTGGAACTGACCAGCCAGTGCGAGCTGCACCCAGACCTGGTGTCTCAGACTTTCGGCTACTTGTTCTTCTTCTCCAACGCATCCCTTCTCAACTCACTGATGGAGCGAGGTGAGCGTCAGACTGGGTCGGGCAAGGAGGCAGAGACAGGAGGCCCTGAGACCCAGGTCAAGTCAGACCTGTCCCGGGCTGAGGCCTAACTCTTAGGCACTCTGGAAAGCAAGCTCTGGGTCCTAAGCTGACAGGAAGGGCCCGGGAGGCAGAAGGGCAGGGTCCATGTACCCATTGGTGCTCCCACCCTTCCCCCACAGGTCAAGGCCGACCTTTCTATCAGTGGTCTCGAGCTGTCCAAATCCGGACCAACCTGGACCTTGTCTTGGACTGGCTGCAGGGGGCTGGCCTGGGAGACATTGCCATGGAGTTCTTCCGGAAGCTCTCCATGGCTGTGAACTTGCTCTGTGTGCCTCGCACCTCCCTGCTCAAGGTGATTCCTGACCCCGGGCCCCTGGCGCGCCAGCCTGCTCTGTATTCAGCTTACCCTTGGGTCTTCCCGCGGTCTCCATGTTACCCTCAGTCCCTGCTCAGACGCCATGGGGGATGCACTGGCAGCTCGAAGGAAGTGGCCAACAGGAGTCCAAACTGGGCTGCACCTGAATCCCAGTGGGACTGATTCACAGTTTCCAGGACCCGCACCCTCAGACATACTGACTCAGGAAGTCGTGTACGAGACCAAGGAATGGGGTAGTTAAAACATGCATTGGCCCTGACCGTTTTGGCTGAGTGGATAGAGCATCGGCCCGAGGACTGAGGGGTCCCAGGTTTGAATATATATATAATATCACACTCATTGAACATAAAACTACATGCCAGACACTGTTTAGCACTGCTGGTTGGATGCTAAGCCCCAAGAAGTAGGTTACTAATTGACAATTTTTTCTCCGACAAGGAAACTGAGAATTAGGTAGGCTAGGTCACTTGACTTCATTTATTTATTTTTATTTGTACAGAGCATTTAATGAGCACCAGGCCGTGTTCTAAGTACTTTAGAACCTTGCCATATTCAATCATTATAACAACCCTCGTAGTAGTTCCTAATCTCCCCCAATTTACAGATGAGGAGAGTGAGGCACAGTGACTTGCCAGAAGGTATTAATTCACCAAACTGGATTTTCTGAACCCAGGCAATCTGGGTCCAGTCTCTGGTTTTGACCACACTGATGATTCCGATGCCAGCTAGCTTAGGTGTCGGAATTTTCAGACAGACACAAAAAGTAGCCGCCGTGGAATAATGAATCCCCAGGTACAATCACCAGCTTCAACACTATGAAGGGAGAGCTGAGTTAGTTTCTTCTCCGTCCCCTGCCTACTCCTATCTTCATTTATTCTGCAGCAAATCACTTAAAAAATGTTTTAATTTTTACAGAGGAAGGGAGAGGGTGAGAGAGAGAAACATCGATGTGAGAGAGAAGCATTAATAGGTTGCCTCTGTACACATCCTGACTGGGGGACTGAACCTGGGACCTGGGCTTATGCCCTGACCATGATCTCCTGGTTCATGGGTCGATGCTCAACTACTGAGCAACACCAGCTGAGCAGCAAATCCCATTTAAAAAAAAAAAAGCTGAGAGCACACCCTTCCCTACCATCCCTTCAGTGACCCCCGGCTTCACAGTGCCCTCAAGACACTGCACAGACACCCGTTCATCCCACTACACCCAACCCCTCTATGGAGGGCTTTCTATTCAGGATTTCTCAGCTGCTCCATAATGACCACAGACTTCTCACCTCATCTTCCCGCCAGGCTTCATGGAACAGTCTACGAACCGACCACCCGACGCTGACCCCTGCTCAGCTCCACCATCTGCTCAGCCACTACCAGCTGGGCCCTGGCCGCGGGCCCCCGCCTGCTTGGGAGCCTCTCCCTGCAGACCGGGATGCTGTGGACACAGGCGAGGAGAAATGGGGACAGGCATGGATGGGGGCGATCAGCTTGCTTCTGTCCTTGGGACCTCGGAATCCATAGCCCCAGCCCCTTCCTCCTCCTCACTCAGGATTTGGACCCCCAGCCCTCTCCTCCCCCAGCATCTAAGTTCTGGACCTCAACCCCCTTCTCCCCAGGATACGGGACTTCAAGCCCCCAGCTCCGTCTTTTTTTCTTAGGGGTTCAGACCCCCAGCTTCTTTCCCTTACAACAGTGGTTCTCCACCTTCCTAATGCCGCGGCCCTTTAATACAGTTCCCCATGTGGTGGTGACCCCAAACCATAAAATCATTTTCGTTGCTACTTCATAACTGTAATGTTGCTACTGTTATGAATCGTACTGTAAATATCTGACATGCAGGATGTATTTTCATTGTGACAAATTGAACATAATTAAAGCATAGTGATTAATCACAAAAACATTTTCCGATGGTCTTAGGCGACCCCTGTGAAAGGGTCGTTTGACCCCCAAAGGGGTCGCGACCCACAGGTTGAGAACCGCTGCCTTACAAACAACCCTCCCTGTCACCCAGCAGTCCGGGCTCCAGGCCCTCCACGAAGGAATCCGTAAAACTAAGTTCCAGCCCTTCCTTCCTCGTGGACCCAAGGACCGAACTACATCGCCCGTTTCCCAGGCAACAGTGGCCTTTTATAGTGTCAACTACAACTCCCATGATGCTTGGGAACTCCAGGAGTCGCGCTGGAGTGGACCCCGCTCTAGTTGCTGGAGGGTTTTAAGTTTTTCCTTCGGATGGGACGCAGCCTAGTCTCTCCCTGAAACTGCTGCCTACCGCCCATTTTCAGAACTTAACTCTGCGTTTTCGGTCTCATAGGGGACATCTTCGAAAGCTTCTCCTCCCATCCGCCCCTCATCCTGCCCTTGGGCAGCTCGCGCCTGCGCCTCACCGGGCCGGTGACGGACGACGCCTTGCACCGTGAACTGCGCAGACTCCGCCGCCTCCTCTGGGACCTGGAGCAGCAGGAACTGCCGGCCAATCACCGCCACGGACCTCCTGTGGCCACGCCCCCTTGAAAACCAATAGCAAACGAGCGCGCGAGCCTTGAAAAGTCTTGGGCTGCGACTCACTGGAGCCCTCCTGAGCGCAGAACTTCCTGGGAGTTGTAGTTCCTTTCCCGCTTGGAATGCTGGGAGTTTGAGTTATTGGGTCGTAGCGGCTGGGACGGTGGGTCGATGGGTGTGGGATTGGAGTGCGAGGGGCAATAAAGGCATCTGTGGTATTGACAGCGTCTCACTGGTTAAGACCCCGGAACCGTTAGTGATAAAGGGGTCCGGAATATGGCACCAGGGCCCTTGCCTGGGGCGCTGGGCTTCTGGCGACTCCGAGGAGGTATTTATAACCACGGCCTCGGCTTGCCCTCTTGCACGTAATCCAACCCGGGAGCACGGGGGCCTCCCACGCACGAATCTCGGGGCAGAGCTCGGAAGCGTGCTCTGCCAAATATCAGCGGGAACCAGCCCTGCTCGAGGGTTTTTTTTTTTTGTTTTGCTTTTTTCATGCTCTCGCTTTGATCCCCAAAGTCCGTATTCGAGTGCCCTCCTCCCTCAGACCCCGGAGTCGGTTCCCAGCCCATTCTGGACCTGCCGAGTCCCAACACCTCTAGTCCCCATCCCCAGCATCCGCAAGCCGGGGCTCCCTGCCCACGCCTCTCCCCCGGGAGCCCCGGCCCCGCCCACTTTCCTGCCAACCCAGGAATGCGGGTCCCTTTCCCGCTCCTTCGGCCCGGGAGTCCGGGAGTCCAGTTGCACTTTTCACCCCCGTGAACCCGACTCCTGCTGCTGCGTCAGGGAAACTCTGAGTGACAGGTGGCACCTGCCCGCGGGGTCGGGACGCGACCACCTGCCTCCGCTGCTCACCCCCCGCCACGCCCCGCACCTCCTGTCTGTC